ACGCCCAGCTCCCATCGCAGGGGTGAGTAGTGTGTCCCTTCTGACCCCACAGGCTGAGCCCTGTTTCTGTGGCATCCATTCATGGGAACTACTTTCTCTTAAGGTGCTCTGAGAGGGAAGAACAAACCTAGAGGCGAGAAGGAATCGCTTGAGTCAAACGAAATCTGGAAACAAATAGTGGAGGAACTGCGCAAAGTGAATGGTGAGAGCATTTCCCTCAGCCTTCCCCTGGGGCTCAGCAGCCGGGGCCTTTGGCTGCACATCTGGACACGCCGTGCCCGGCACAGCGGGAAGGGATCCATGGCAGCCTGGCTGCCCCGCTGCTGCTTCCACACCCTGCAGGGCTGTTTCCCAGCCTGGCCTGGCTGCAGCTTCTCCCCAGCCTCTGCAGAAGGCATTGGGCATCAGCTGACAGGCAGACCAAACTGCACCACTGTAGCAGGCTCCAAGCATGTTAGGGCCCCATGGAGGGTCGAGGCTTAAAGATAGGAATTGCCAAGTCATGATGAAATAGCAAAAGAAGCCCCTGCCTTCCACCTTCCGCACCCCAGCTTATCTCTCTGTAACCCCATAGGTCACTTTCCCCTAACCCCTACTATTGGACAAGTATGGATCCCCTTATACCCCATATAAAGGGCTGTTTTAGCCCATTCTGGAGAAGAGCTGTTTCTGGAACCCTTCACACACCCCTCAATAAAACCATCACTGTGGAACACCAGGACATTTCTTATCCTCTCTTGCAGCGTCTGCTTCCCAGGTAGCCTGCAAGGCTCCTTAGCAAACAAAAGAGCTAAAATCATAAGAGAGCTGATAATCACTAAAGAGCTGATATCCATTGGGCTTGCTAAAGTAGCCAGTGGCTGAGAGCGGCCTGGGTACTCAGACACTCTGTCCTGTGAAGGACTGAGCTATCCAGCCCGTGCTGCCTGCTCCGGGGCAAATTAGCCCAGCAGGGAACCCGGGATACACCATGGCTTATGCATACCCTGAGATTCCCTGCAATTTCCCTGTCTCTGGGCAGATCAGGTGTAAGGGCTGTTTGGAGATGGGACCAGTCGGGGACAGTTCCAAAATCCAGGGTGTTTTCTGATCCTTATCCGTGCCTTTCGCAACTATTGCCGCCTGAAGTGGTCACCTTCCCCATTCCCAGTGAGGAATGATCCCATCTGATCCCGCTGTCTCTTTTCCATTCCCCAGAAATGAAAGGAGAGCCTGTGCTGAAAGCTGAGTTTCCTGCAGGAAGCAGTGATTCTGTGCCAGCCTCTGCTGCAGGAAGGGAGGCGATGCCAGGCCCAGTCCCAGGAGGTAATTGCTGTGCCTCTGGGCCTGAGCCCTGCTGAGGCTTGAGCTGCCCTCTCTGCTGCTTGGCACTGCGGGCACAGCCAGGACAAGATGGGCACAGCCCAGAGGAATTATCCCGAGCAGGCTCAGGGCACTAGGGTACTGAGCTGTCCTGCTGGGCTCCCTCCGTGGGAGACACGTCCCGAAACCTGGGAGCGGCTGCACGGGGTGCCCATGGTGGGGAAAGGGCAGAGGGACAGAGCAAGGCTCCAGCGTGGCCTGAGAGGGCTTGGCCATGTGCCCTTGAGAAATGGGCAGTGTCCCAGCAGAAGGAGGGCAGGAGGGACAGAGGGAGGCAGGGATAGCTGTGGCACTGCCTGCTGCAGTTTTCCTCTGGGCTTTAGGAAGGATTTCCTCTCTGTGTGTGAGGGAGAGCCCCCAGGGCCCTGGGCTGCTCCAGCCGCCCCTTCCAGGGATGTTGCACTGGGCCTGCAAAGATTGTGGAGAGTGACCAGGAGCCTGCCCAGAGCTCCCCAGGCCCCTGTGCAGCTTTGGCCATGTCCATTCACATCTGCCTCCCCCTGGCCTTATCCGACCCCCTTGCAGTGCTCATTTCCCAGAGGCAGAAGGGATCCCAGCACGCCCTGAAAAATGTTCTCATCTGTGCTCCGTTCTAGATGAGGTTGCTCGGAAGGCTTCTCCATCAGTTTGGCTGCATAAAGCTTTGAAGCCCTTGGAGCCTCCTGCAGGTATGTTCTCACTGTCCCACCAAGAACTAATCATTGACAAGCTGACAGAACCAGGTGACAGAAGCTTCGGTGGCTGTTGAGTTACAGGTGTGTCTGCAGGGAGGACTTTTGCTGCTCCTTTTCTGATTGCTGCACGCACGCCCAGCTCCCATCGCAGGGGTGAGTAGTGTGTCCCTTCTGACCCCACAGGCTGAGCCCTGTTTCTGTGGCATCCATTCATGGGAAATGGAACAACTTTCTCTTAAGGTGCTCTGAGAGGGAAGAACAAACCTAGAGGCCAGAAGGAATCGCTTGAGTCAAACGACATCTGGAAACAAATAGTGGAGGAACTGCGCAAAGTGAATGGTGAGAGCATTTCCCTCAGCCTTCCCCTGGGGCTCAGCAGCCGGGGCCTTTGGCTGCACATCTGGACACGCCGTGCCCGGCACAGCGGGAAGGGATCCATGGCAGCCTGGCTGCCCCGCTGCTGCTTCCACACCCTGCAGGGCTGTTTCCCAGCCTGGCCTGGCTGCAGCTTCTCCCCAGCCTCTGCAGAAGGCATTGGGCATCAGCTGACAGGCAGACCAAACTGCACCACTGTAGCAGGCTCCAAGCATGTTAGGGCCCCATGGAGGGTCGAGGCTTAAAGATAGGAATTGCCAAGTCATGATGAAATAGCAAAAGAAGCCCCTGCCTTCCACCTTCCGCACCCCAGCTTATCTCTCTGTAACCCCATAGGTCACTTTCCCCTAACCCCTACTATTGGACAAGTATGGATCCCCTTATACCCCATATAAAGGGCTGTTTTAGCCCATTCTGGAGAAGAGCTGTTTCTGGAACCCTTCACACACCCCTCAATAAAACCATCACTGTGGAACACCAGGACATTTCTTATCCTCTCTTGCAGCGTCTGCTTCCCAGGTAGCCTGCAAGGCTCCTTAGCAAACAAAAGAGCTAAAATCATAAGAGAGCTGATAATCACTAAAGAGCTGATATCCATTGGGCTTGCTAAAGTAGCCAGTGGCTGAGAGCGGCCTGGGTACTCAGACACTCTGTCCTGTGAAGGACTGAGCTATCCAGCCCGTGCTGCCTGCTCCGGGGCAAATTAGCCCAGCAGGGAACCCGGGATACACCATGGCTTATGCATACCCTGAGATTCCCTGCAATTTCCCTGTCTCTGGGCAGATCAGGTGTAAGGGCTGTTTGGAGATGGGACCAGTCAGGGACAGTTCCAAAATCCAGGGTGTTTTCTGATCCTTATCCGTGCCTTTCGCAACTATTGCCGCCTGAAGTGGTCACCTTCCCCATTCCCAGTGAGGAATGATCCCATCTGATCCCGCTGTCTCTTTTCCATTCCCCAGAAATGAAAGGAGAGCCTGTGCTGAAAGCTGAGTTTCCTGCAGGAAGCAGTGATTCTGTGCCAGCCTCTGCTGCAGGAAGGGAGGCGATGCCAGGCCCAGTCCCAGGAGGTAATTGCTGTGCCTCTGGGCCTGAGCCCTGCTGAGGCTTGAGCTGCCCTCTCTGCTGCTTGGCACTGCAGGCACAGCCAGGACAAGATGGGCACAGCCCAGAGGAATTATCCCGAGCAGGCTCAGGGCACTCGGCTACTGAGCTGTCCTGCTGGGCTCCCTCCGTGAGAGACACGTCCCGAAACCTGGGAGCGGCTGCACGGGGTGCCCATGGTGGGGAAAGGGCAGAGGGACAGAGCAAGGCTCCAGTGTGGCCTGAGAGGGCTTGGCCATGTGCCCTTGAGAAATGGGCAGTGTCCCAGCAGAAGGAGGGCAGGAGGGACAGAGGGAGGCAGGGATAGCTGTGGCACTGCCTGCTGCAGTTTTCCTCTGGGCTTTAGGAAGGATTTCCTCTCTGTGTGTGAGGGAGAGAGCCCCCAGGGCCCTGGGCTGCTCCAGCCGCCCCTTCCAGGGATGTTGCACTGGGCCTGCAAAGAGGGTGGAGAGTGACCAGGAGCCTGCCCAGAGCTCCCCAGGCCCCTGTGCAGCTTTGGCCATGTCCATTCACATCTGCCTCCCCCTGGCCTTATCCGACCCCCTTGCAGTGCTCATTTCCCAGAGGCAGAAGGGATCCCAGCACGCCCTGAAAAATGTTCTCATCTGTGCTCTGTTCTAGATGAGGTTGCTCGGAAGGCTTCTCCATTAGATTGGCTGAATAAAGTTTTGAAGCCCTTGGAGCCTCCTGCAGGTATGTTCTCACTGTCCCACCAAGGAGTAATCTTTGATATTGTCTGGCAGAAACAAGGTGACAGAAGCTTCTGTGACTGTTGAGTTATAGATGCTTCTGCAGGGAGGACTTTTCAAGCTCCTCTGCTGGTTCCAGCACACAAGCCCAGCTCCCATCGCAGGGGTGAGTAGTGTGTCCCTTCTGACCCCACAGGCTGAGCCCTGCTTTAATGGCATCCATTCCTGGGAACTACTTTCTCTTAAGGTGCTCGGAGAGGAAAGAACAAACCTAGAGGCGAGAAGGAATCGCTTGAGTCAAACGTCATCTTGAAACAAATAGTGGAGGAACTGCACAAAGGGAATGGTGAGAGCATTTCCCTCAGCCTTCCCCTGGGGCTCAGCAGCCGGGGGCTTTGGCTGCACATCTGGACACGCCGTGCCCGGCACAGCGGGAAGGGATCCATGGCAGCCTCTCTGCCCCGCTGCTGCTTCCACGCCCTGTGGGGCTGTTTCCCAGCCTGGCCTGGCTGCAGCTTCTGCCCAGCCTCTGCAGGAAGGCATTAGGCATCCGCTGCCACGCAGCCCAAACTGCAATAGACCCTGAGATCCCCCATAATATCCTGGTCTCCAGATTAGGAAAGGGTGCTGATTTGGAGCAAGGAGTGCTCTGACCCAGCCCCAATAACCTGGCCATTTTCCTGGTCTTTAAGATATATTCCCTCCTGTAGATGCCACCACCCAAATAGGGAACAGTTCCATCTGATGCAGCTGTGTCTCTTCCTTTCTCAAGAGATGGACATAGAAGTTCTGTGGAAGGCAGCATTTCCTGAAGGAAGCAGTCGCTCTTCGTTGCCAGCCCCTGCTGCAGGAAGGAAGGCCAAGCCAGACACAGGCACAGGCACAGGAGGTAATTGCAGTGCCAGGCTCAGCCCTTGGCAGGGCTCTGTGGCAGCAGCTCTTCCCCCAGGGCCTGCCCTTGCACGGCCCGGCAGCAGCCAAAGCTGGAGGCGCCTCCGGAGGCTTGGAGGCCTCTGGAGCTCGTTCACAGCCCCGGGGAAAGGGGACTCGTGCACCAATGTCCCTCCCGCTGCAGCTGCTCCGGAGCCGGCCCTGAGTGCCCAGAGGCCCAAGGCACAGGAGCAGCCCCGAGTGGGAGCCCTGCCGCGAGCCCAGGGCCAGAGCCAGCCTTGGCACACAAAGGAAACTGTTCCCATCTTGGTTTGCTTCCAGACTGGGATACTGGGAAGGCTTCTCCATTAACCTGGAGGTTTGAAATTTTGAAGCCCACTGAGGGTTCTGCAGGTACGTTCTCACCATCCCACCAAGACGTAATCATTGACAAGTTGGCAAGAACCAGGTGACAGAAGCTTCTGTGGCTGTTCAGTTACAGATGTGACTGCAGGGAAGACTTCCCTAGCACTTGGGCTGCATGCTGCGCACCATCCCAGCTCCCATCACAGGGGTGAGTAATGTGTCCCTGCTGGCCCCACAGGCTAAGCCCTGCTTTTGTGGCATTCATTGCAGGGAAATAAAACTACTTTCTGTCAAGATTCTCCAACAGGAAAGCCCAAACACACGACAGACAAGAAATTCCAGAAGCCATTTGAAGTCATGCGGCAAATGCTGAAGGAAATGCTGCGGGGAGGACAAGGTGGGTGCATTCCCTCAGCCTTCCCCTGGGGCTCAGCAGCCGGGGGCTTTGGCTGCACATCTGGACACGCCATGCCCGGCACAGCGGGAAGGGATCCATGGCAGCCTTGCGGCCCCGTGGCTGTTTCCACGCCCTGCAGGGCTGTTTCCCAGCCTGGCCTGGCTGCAGCTTCTCCCCAGCCTCTGCAGGAAGGCATTGGGCATCGGCTGACAGGCAGACCAAACTGCACCACGGGCAAGGCACACCCTGAGATCCCCTGCAATTTCCCTGTCTCTGAGAAGATCAAGAGGCACAGTTGTTTGCACAAGGGAGTGCTCTGGCCCAGTCCCAAGAGCCTGGACCTTTTCCTGATTCTTATCCATGTCCTTGACAAGGATTGCCTCCTGAGATGCGCCCTCCCCAATGGGAAACAGCCCCATCTGATCCAGTGTCACTTTTCCTTTCTCCAGAGGTGGATGGAGAGGCTGTGCTGAAGGCGGCGTTTCCCATAGGAAGCAGTGATTCTGTGCCAGCCTCTGCTGCAGGAAGGGAGGCGATGCCAGGCACAGTCACAGGAGGTAATTGCTGTGCCTCTGGGCCTGAGCCCTGCTGAGGCTTGAGCTGCCCTCTCTGTTGCTTGGCACTGCGGGCACAGCCCGGACAAGATGGGCACAGCCCAGAGGAATTATCCCGAGCAGGCTCAGGGCACTCGGCTACTGAGCTGTCCTGCTGGGCTCCCTCCGTGGGAGACACGTCCCCAAACCTGGGAGCGGCTGCACGGGGTGCCCATGGTGGGGAAAGGGCAGAAGATGAGAGCAAGGCTCCAGTGTGGCCTGAGAGGGCTTGGCCATGTGCCCTTGAGAAATGGGAGGTGTCCCAGCAGAAGGAGGGCAGGAGGGACAGAGGGAGGCAGGGATAGCTGTGGCACTGCCTGCTGCAGTTTTCCCCAGGGCTTTAGTGAGGATTTCCTCTGTGTGTGTGAGGGAGAGCCCCCAGGGCCCTGGGCTGCTCCAGCCGCCCCTTCCAGGGATGTTGCACAGAGCCTGCAAAGAGGGTGGAGAGTGACCAGGAGCCTGCCCAGAGCTCCCCAGGCCCCTGTGCAGTTTGGCCTTGTCCATTCACACCTGGTTCCCACAGCCTTACCTGACCCCCTTGCAGTGCTCCTTTCCCAGAGGCAGAAGAGGATCCCAGCACACCATGGAAATGGTTCTGATCTGTGCTCCCTTCTAGATTGGAATCGTGACATGGATTATTTGGAAGCCCTGCTGGAAAATGGCTTGGAATTCCTGGAAGATGCTGGAGGCAAGTTCTCAGTGTGCCTTTCCTGAGAGAATAATCAGTGTCCATGTGGCAAGAGCTCACTCGCCTTCCATTTCCCTCAACATAATCTCATGGTTGAAGGAATCTGGAATTCTTGCCCTGCTCCCTTCTGGAGCTCTGAGTGATCCCACAGGATCACTGTCAGTGGGAGGAAGGAGCATTTAGCTGTCCATCCTCGTCCCACGTGCAATGGCCGTGTGTCCTTCCGTGTGCTCTGTGCAGCCACGGAGAAGCGCAGAGAGGGCAGGGGCCGGGGCCAGGGCTGTGCCCCGGGGCTGAGCCTTGCCTGCAGCCTGAGGATCTCCTACAGTGCCACGGGAGCTCTTCTGTCCTGCCTTTCTTTGCAGCTGAACCCGTTGCTGAAGGAGATCTGGCTTCCCAAACCACATCCATGACTGAGCCCCTGGGAGATGGTGAGGGTAGGTCAAGGCCTTTCCCCCTTTGAGAGCTGCCAGCTCAGAGCCCAAAGCTGGGCCAGGGGGGCATGGCTGCAGGTGCCAGGACAGAGCCATGCACGTGTGTGCCCTCGCCCTGCGCGATCCCCTCACCGCTCCTGCGGCTCAGTGGTGCCCGTGCAGCTGAGCAGAGATGGCAGAAGCTTCTGTGGCTGTTGAGTTACAGGGGTGGCTGCAGGGAGGAGTTCTCCATTAGCTCGGGTGGATTCTTGGCACCAACCCAGCTCCCATCGCAGCGGTGAGTAGTGTGTCCCTGCTGACCGCACAGGCTGAGCCCTGCTTTTGTGGCATCCATTCATGGGAAATGGAACTACTTTCTCTAAGGTCCTCCAAAAGGAAAAACCCATGGTACTGCAGCCAAAACATCTCTTGACTCAAACGAATTCCTGAGACAAACCCAGAAGGAAGCACAGCATGGACAAGGTGGGTGCATTTCCCTCAGCCTTGTCCTGGGGCTCAGCAGCCGGGGCCTTTGGCTGCACATCTGGACACGCCGTGCCCGGCACAGCAGGAAGGGATCCATGGCAGCCTGGCTGCCCCGCTGCTGCTTCCACGCCCTGCAGGGCTGTTTCCCAGCCTGGCCTGGCTGCAGCTTCTCCCCAGCCTCTGCAGGAAGGCATTGGGCATCGGCTGAAAGGCAGCCCAAAGTGCACCACGGGCCTGAGATCCCCTGCAATTTCCCAGTATCTGAGCAGATCAGGAGGCACAGCTATTTGGAGGAGGGAGTTTTCTGGCCCAGACCCAACAGCATGGGAATTTTCCCAATCTTTACGTGTGACTTTTACAAGCATTGCCTCCTGAAGATGCCACCTCCCCAGTGGGGAATGTTTCCATGTGATCCAGCTGTGCCTCTTTCTTTTTCAAGTGATGGACCAAAAATCTGTGCAGAAGGAGCCACACCCTGGAGGAAGAAGTGGGTTGGTGTCAGGCTCTACTGCAGGAACAAATGTGATGCCAAGCACAGGTGAAGGCACAGAAGGTAATTGCTGTGGCAGATTCAGCAGGGCTCAGCCCTCCGCAGGGCTGTATGGCAGCAGCTCTTCCCCCAGGGCCTGCCCTTGCATGGCCCGGCAGCAGCCAAAGCTGGAGGCGCCTCTGGAGGCTTGGAGGCCTCTGGAGCTCATTCACAGCCCCGGGGAAAGGGGACTCATGCACCAATGTCCCTCCTGCTGCAGCTGCTCCGGAGCCGGCCCTGAGTGCCCAGAGGCCCAAGGCACAGGAGCAGCCCCGAGCGGGAGCCCTGCCGTGAGCCCAGGGCCAGAGGCAGCCTTGGCTCCCGACTGGGCAGGGGCTGCACTGGGTCCTGACAGGGCCTGACTCTGTGCCCTGGGGCTGGGGGAGCTGTCAGGGGGCAGGGAGGGCCAGGGCTGGCACTGGCTGCTCAGGGATGGGTTTGGCCCGTGTCCCTCCAAGCAGCGACTGCCCAAGCAGCCGTGCTGCCCCCGGGCTCCCCTCCCGGCCTGCTGGGCTTTGTTGGGTGGCACAGCCTGTGCCCAGGGGCGGCAAGGTGCCTGCAGGCCCCAGCTCTGGGGGAAAGGGAGAACGTCCTGCCCGCATGCACCGTGCTGCCAGCTCAGCAGTGCAGCTCAGCACGGGTTCACACTCCCCATTGCTCGCACAGGTGCAGCCAGCCCCACCACACGTGTTCCTGATTCCCAGAAGGGCCCTGGAAGGGGTTTCTGTAAGGGAACAGGCTGCTGGCTAGGGTTACTGGCAGGCCTGCTTGTTTTGGAGCTTATCTTCATGTTCTCCTGCTTTGGAATCTGGCATTCCTGGAAGAGAAATCGGTGAGTGTTTTGTTGCTCTCCCTCTCAAACAGCTTCTTTTGAAAGCCTCATGTAGACAGGAAACATTACCAGTGAGGCTGCAGTGGAGTTGTGGCCAGTCCATGATTGTCCAAAGAACTCTGCTGAGGGTTCTGCTGCTGCCCAGAGCTTTCATTGGCCTCTTAATGGCTGGGCCTTGTCCTGGGGGGCCCGCTGGGGCTGCAGCCAGTGCTGGCTCCCACTGAGGCTGCCTGGCCAAGAGCAGCCCCGGCAGCACAGGGCAGAGGCAAAGCAAGTTGGGAAGGAGAAAGAGCAGGGACGAGATTGCCCTTGGAAGGCAGAGGCGCTCTGGGGCCCGCTCCTGGCCAGGGAGCCTGCCCAGAGCCGTCCCCTGCCCGCCGGGGCCTTGAGGGACAGCTGTGCAGCTGGGCCAAGCTGTGCCAGCAGCTCCAGCCGTGCTGGGGAGCCTTGCCAGCTCTGGGCCCTGCTGTGCAGGAGGCTCCCTGTGTGCCACTGGCTGCTGGGGCCTCAGCCACCTCCTCTTTCCACAGTTCCACCTCTGGGCAAGAGTTGAAAGACCGTGGCTGCGCCTCACACCCAGAAATCTTGATCGGCTCCTCCAGCAATAAGAAGGGCCTGGGCAGCCCTCTCAAGAGTTCTGAGAAGAGGACCCCAGAACAGCCATCTATGAGGAAACCTCCTAGGCCCCTGTAGATCCCACTGCCACCTCCTCTCCCCATGTGTATCCCCGAGCTGCCTTCATCCCTTTTTTGATCTTCTTCTGTCCCATCCCAGCCCATTGCTGAGTTCTTCTAGAGACCCCAGGAGCAGCCCAGCACCCTCCAGCCCCTCCTGAGTCCAACATGTCCCTTCCTCTGCCCCCGAGCCCCCTGGCCCTGCCCTCTAAACAACACTGTAGGTTACACCTCCCTGTGAAAACGCCAATCACTTGATTTTAAAATTTTAAAAGTTTAATAATAATAAAATGGTTATATAAATAGTAATACAATTAGAGTTAATAATAATTTGGACAATTTGAATTAGGACAATATGAGACAATAGAAACAAAGAGTTACGGACGTCCAGGTACCTTTTTCTGGACAGCAGGAGCCCGAAAAAGGACACCTGTTATCAGAGGATTAACCCTTAAAAACAATAACCTGTTGCATGTTCACGTACCTCATACATGATGCATAAATGCCATTCAAATACAGGATACTGTCTGGTCATCATAAACTACTTCCTCTGAATCCTAACAGTGCTTTCAAGGCGGGAAGAAGTTAATTTCTTCTGATAAGAGGGCAATAAATTCTTTTTCTCTGACAGATTTGTGTGTCCTGTGGCTGCTATCTTGCTGCGAGTCCTTTCTTTAAAAAAAAAGTATCTTACATAGCGTAGTTTCTATTTTAAC